CTGTCTCTTCATCTCAGTGGTTCTCCTGCCCTGCCTGGCTAATATAATGCTGCTAAAGTTGTCTCCTCACTTAGATAATTTCTTCACTGGCTTCCCATCATTTGCTACGTCATAGTCAAGCTCTTTATCCTCTTCTTTGAGGCTCTGCATCACTTCGAAGGGGATAGGGCACTCAGAGCAATTGGGTCAGGCTCTCTGCAGACTCAGATGGGCACCACTGCGGTGGGGCATGTTTTCAATCTTAACTTCACAAATATGAGGGCGATATTTTTTTACATGAAGCTGAGATTTTGAAGAATAGCCAATCACAGCCGCTGCAGGAGGCAGGCGGCACGCTTCCCCCCTGTCCCCTCAGGAACACAGAGAGTTTTTGAGGGAGAGCAACAGGACAGTATTTTCTTAAGAGGAGAAGAGAGCAGCAAGAGCCCAGCAGCTCAGGGCCTCTCTGTTCTTCCTTCTTCATCTGTGAAAAATGAATTGGCTCCTCTCTAATGCTGGAACTCAAGCTTGGGAAGGAATCACTCAAGCTCCCTTACAGCTGCCCTCTCCCTAGGCTGGGGTGGGAGGCATATGGAGAACCTCTGGAGCTGCCCTCATCCTAAACCTGGGGGGTATGTGATGACCCCCTGCAGCTGACCTCCTTCTAGCCTGGGTGTGGGTGAAGAATCTACACAGCTGCAGGCGCAGAGGTGAGCTGGGGAAGGTAAGGGGTGTAGCACTGTTGTGCAGCTGGGTGGGCAGAGTTGATGTGGGACAGGGGCCTGGAGCACTACACATTGGGGACGGGGGTTCAAAGGTCGTAAGACAACTCAGAAACATTACTTTTTTTATTTTATTTTATTTTTTTAAACTCGTCATTTCTGGGCCACTCTCATGATTTTTGTGGTTGGCCTGATCTAACACTGACTCTTACATCTACTTACACGTGCTTAGCGATGTTTAATTAACACCATCCTACCCTATTGATTTCAGTGGAGTTACAGGATTTCATCGAAGTCATTCTAGGAATGAATCAGTGATTTTGGAGATGATTTTCTTTGATGATGTCAAATGCGAGCTACTTTCCAAAGTGCCTTGCCCCCAAAACACAGGCAAGCAGCAGGGTCTCTCCTATTAATTTTGTTCTTGATGCTTTATCATCATAGGCAAATTACAATTGTCGATGCATGTGCCTCCCCACGTCCCCAGCACTAGGTTTAAGGCTGTGTTAGTGTTCACTTTTACAAGGCGGTAGTGCTGTGAAAAATTACTTTATTTTGGGCTAATGTTTGATGCAGGGTTTTTTTTGTCACAGGGTATTTTTTTCTTCCTCTAAAATGTGGTAAGAAATTAGTAGAGGGAGGGAGACTATTGAGAAGGAAGGTACTAAAATCCTTTTTTCACTGCATGTTGATACGTTAGGAAACCAGAGTCTGTTTTTTTACTCCAGCTGCCAGGAGTTACAAAGCCAGCCTCACCCACATATGGGGAATCCTCAGGTAGCGCAGAGATGGTTTAATGGTTTTATTCCCTCCCTTGCCAAGCCCATGGATTAGAGAAGTTTTGGGGGAAAGGCCTGTGGTTTATTTTCTTTGGCTGCCCGAATGGCTCCTTGGAGTAAAGTTCTGATCAAAGCCCACTGAATTCAATGGGAGTGTTTCTATGGACTTCAGTAGGGTTTGAATCAGGCCCTAAGGCCATTTACCAGTGAACTGTAATAGATTTAAAATCTTCAAGTCTCCAGCCAGCACCAGAATCTGGGTTCATAGCTACCTTTCCCTCACCCCACCATCCCCAATCCTCTGACAAGTGCAGCTTGGCCAGATCTGAGAATCTCATCCTAGACCAGGAGTCAGCAACCTTTCAGAAGTGGTGTGCCGAGTCTTCATTTATTCACTCTAATTTAAGGTTTCGCGTGCCAGTAATACATGTTAACGTTTTTAGAATGTCTCTTTCTATAAGTCTATAATATATAACTCAACTATTGTTGTAAATAAAGTAAATAAGGTTTTTAAAATGTTTAAGACGCTTCATTTAAAATTAAATTAAAATGCAGAGCCCCCAGGACCGGTGACTAGGACCCGGGCAGTGTGAGTGCCACTGAAAATCAGCTCGCGTGCCACCTTCGGCACACGTGCCATAGGTTGCTTACCCCTGTCCTAGACCTTTAGATCTACTTGACCAGGAAAATAAAGGCGCTGACACATCCAGCTGTGAAAGCAGTGCTAAAACCTAGTGAAGCTGCAGTAGCCCAGATCTGACACTTTGGAACAAAAATATACGTAAAGAGAGAGTTAGTTTTAGTTTAGTTTAACAGGTTTACAAATCCTAGCCATATAAATATCAGAGACAATACAACAACCATTAAAATAAGCTTTTTGTTTAGAGAAATGTTATACAGTAATATAATTATCAGATCTCTCTATTTAATACGGTGTTACCATATGACAAAGTGAGCATCTTTACATTGCCCAGGACATGCCATTTCTAGCGATTTTATTAAATTGAGTGAAATCTCTGATTACACATATGCAACAAACCAGGCATGTGTCTCAACGGACACTTTCATCTTTCCAGATGCAGCCAAATTTCATACCGTAGCATTTAATTTTTGCAGTAGAACTGATCTAGCACATGCAGATAATCACACGATAGGTGGTTTTGGCATATCAGTTCTTGACTGAGATGTTAAAGCAGCCTAGGGGACTTGGACACACACCTTCCATTAATTTTAAACACATTTTAATGGAAGACAGATGTCTAAATCTCCAAGACTGCTTTGAAGATCTCAAAAAGAAGAACAGGAGTACTTGTGGCACCTTAGAGACTAACAAATTTATTAGAGCAT